GGTGTAGATCACATCAAAGCCTAAAATGCATTATTACCATGGCAGCCTGCAATGTTATCTAAATGTTGACCTTGTATAACTTTAATTAGGTGACCCCAGAAAAATCCCTCTACCTATTTAAACCAATAAATTTAAAAATAGGTCTTCTTTTTATTGCTAACAAGGGGGGACTTACATTTTACACCTGTACATTTGGGCACTAATTAACTCTCTGTAATTAATCATCCATACCAATGTCTTAGGTTCTCTTCTTATATGCATGTAAACTTTTATATCTAAAATAACCAGACTTTGTTCATCATTTACTATTCTTTCACATTTGTACTATCTACGATACCTGAACGTCTCTAAAATTCTTCCGACATTCTGCCTTCATAATAAAATCTAGTGCTTAATTAAATGAGCTTTTCTTTTGAAAGTAAAAAGGCAAAAAAGGCGTATCCTACCTCGCCCATGCACGCACACACGCAGTGCCCCTGTCGTCACATCTTCCCTGTCGTTTCTTACAACCCAACGAGAAAATGAGCGCCAAATGGCCCCTCTCGCGTCGTGGAAACATCCTGCTCGGTCACGAATACCAAGTTCCAGCCCCATTACCCTCCCATTTCGCCTGGCCAGTTTTCCCTAAATCCTCTCAAAATTATCACTAAAAATTGTCCACTTTACACCCGAATCGTAAAACGTCACCTACAAGCTCAAACCGAATGATCAAATTAGGAAGCCAGCAACATCGGAAAAAGATAGTCTATAAACGAAGCTACTTATTACTTTTATGACTTGAGAAATATTTTTAAAGACGGCAGAAATTTGGTTGATACGGTATGTTACAGATGGGCTGTAGGGCTGAATGGAACATTTCCATTTAAATGAGGGGTAATTTCTGCTGCATGATTGGCCGTAGGGCTTTCCTACACACGTACGGCTTTTGCCCTAGAATCACCTATCGGAAAAAATGTAGAGGACATCCTACTACAAGTCTCTAAGTCTTCATTTTATTTAACTTCTAGTTTGTTAGTTTGTTGTCATCATTCAAGGACCTATGAGTTCATAACGCCAGGGACAGGCAAATACAAATATTATTCTATACATACAGTTAGCATGTTATTTATCACCAGCGTAAAATAGCCTGTTGACAGTGAAACAAATTTCACAACAAAAAAAGAATTAGATGCAGTTTAAAAGTAAGCTGCTAGGGGGTAAAAAACAGCAAATTTCTTGAGAGGATCATTTTAAGACATTGTCAACAGAAGGTCAAGTTTGTGTGTTGGCCTGAGAAATAATAGTCAGCTCCTAGCAGCTTGCCTTTGAACTGCAGATGACTTTCTCTTGCCAACTTCACAGTCAACAGCTTGTAACTAAAGGGCCCATTGAAATGGTATTGTTAGTTTTGTGTGGTTAAGTTATAAATAGGTACACATGTACCAACAGTTTTGTGTTCCTTTTGTTTACATTCTTAGGAAGTGAAGAAATGTCTAACTGAAACAGAGATGGAAAAATCTCTTTGAACTTCAGTCTGTATTTGTTTCAAAAATAGCATGATCAAAAATAGCAGGGATAACACTAGTAACAGTAGTATGTATGACTCATTTCAGAGAAAGTAGTTACAACAGAGGTCATGTCCTTGAATTATTTGTTTTAGTTAGGCAACCTTGGAATTTGGAAGGACACATCAGAAAAAGCTACTTTTAACTTTTACCCAAATGCGTTAAGGTATATCTTTGTGTCAAAAACTAGTTTAACAGATAAACACACGCAAACAGTTCACAACAAAGCTCTTTAGTAACTGTTTTTGAGATAACAAACATACAGACACAAATAAATGCACACAAACATACAGTACATGTACATGAACATGAACATAAATAAATATTCTTGATATTCTTGAATGTACTCATTGAACATAACTACTTACACTCAAGTTACAAAGTCCCACCCAAACCCCAGTGAGCTATTTCTGACACAAGTCTGGTTGACAGTTAACAAAAGGGTGGCATTCCACAAACACCTGACCTTTGGTCCAGGGACAAGGGTAGCTAGCCACTTGACCACAAAATAAGGATGAGACAATGACTAACCCTAGTCACACCCTCCACACCCATGCCACACCTACATATGTATAGAGATACATAGTATTACACACCCTACATTTGTACATACTGGCAATGTATGTAAGTAAGGTTAGGTACCAATGTTCAACTCTTTTGATATTCAAACTTAATAATAATAATATCACTTCTGGTCATTATAACAATGTACTGTAATTATCATGATCTTCTTTCCAACCCTCAAAAATGAGTTAGGTAGAAAAAAGTATACTTTCTGTAATACCACAGTTACCTCACTCAGTCTAAGGGCGTTTGTCTTTCCGTGTGTCTGTTTGTGTGTTTGTTTGCTTGTGTTTACTGAAGTCATTTCCACATGGTAGGCACGTGAGAGACACAGACAGGAAGTTAGGCCAAAGGTCCCAGAAAAGGTTATCTCCTTTCCTGCTTACAAAGTTACACTCGTGTCTGACTGTCTGTTGAGCCAGTGGGAAAAAACAGACAGAATCAGAGAGAAATTCACAATACCGGTAATGGATAAAACAAGAAATTCACAAAACACCTGAGAAAAGTAAAAGTAACAGCCATCAGTAGCAGAAGTGAGGACCTCCCACCTAACCAAGTGTTTTGCTAAATGATAGGTTTACATACTAGGTTTGTAATGAGGCATTCCCAGACAAGTGAGCTATCAGTCACTATTATTACATGTTGTATTGACATGTGAGTTATTGGTACCACATGGCTCTACAAATTTGTACAATGTGTTTCAGAACTTTCTGAGTATAACCATGTGACTCATAGAAAGACCACATGACAGTTAGTTGTATACTGTATTACAGTGTATTTGCAGTAACATCAGTGTAGACAGTGAGATATCACTAGTATCAGTCAGTGTTTACAAGTGTTGTCATGTGAGTTATTGGTACCACATGTCTCTACAAATTAGTACAGTGTGTTTCTTTTCCAAGACATATCATATACTACTGAGTGTAACCATGTGACTCATACTCATAGACCGCATGACAGTCAGTTGTATACTGTACTATATACAGTAACGCCCAAAGCAGTTACTCAATCAAAATCATATCCAGTTGCTTGAGTAACTGTTTTAGGCATATCTTATTACCTGCATGTCTAACCTCCATCCATGTGTATACAGTAATACTTGTGTGCCTTATTACTTGCACGCAGCTACATACACTTACATACAACAGCTGGGTGGAACATTTGTTACCACGGGCAACCAGGATTCACAGTAGAATTTTTCAGTGTAGGGGTCAGGTACAGAAGGCCAACTAATATGTGGAGCACAAGACACACATGGGGTGCACTGAAGACATGATCATAGAACTTAGAAGGCCCCTAGACTTTTTCATAACCCTATGACTAGTAATATGACACACTGTTTCCAGCATTTCGGGAGACAAATTTTGTGATGTTTTTCCTCTGCGACTACTTTATTTTAAAGCTACATATTCATTTCTTAAAGATTTATGAAGGGTCACAGGGTTCTCCAAAGATTTCGGAACACCCATATATGCTCAGCTGCACAAGCTAGAATTATTTCCAACTCAGTGCAGGGGTTTTTCTAAACAGTGGAATAAGGGAGCAGCTCCCTCATGTAACCAGTCAGCTCCCTCATACCAATTTTCAGATTGAACCCATGTGAGTGTTACTCTTATTAAAAAATCCCCCCTTGGTCACTTCGTTCCTTGCCATGCTTGCGATCTGCTCCCTCATGCTAAATTTTTGTAGAAAAACCCCTGCAGTGCACATAGATATCTTTTGTTAAAAGTGAAAGTGATACTAACTTATCAAATCAGTTAAGCTCACTGATCAGCTTATCTTCCACTGGTCGTGACAGAGAAGACAGATGATATGTACAGTATTTACAGATTCACTCTGCCAGAGTATTTTGATAGCTCTATTTGAATATCCCAATGAATAGTTATTTACTGAACATAAGTCTCATTTTGGTTTTCTTACCACTATATAAACAACAGCTTTCAGAATTCAGATGGAAGGTTTTTGCACTCTTTGCCCAAAAATACTGAATATTTAGAATTAGAAGTCACTTTAACGGTTGGATAGCAGTACCTCAAACTTCAAACTGCAACATGCTAGAAGCTGAAGGCTTAACATTCTGTCTTGTTAATAATTAAGTACAATAAAATTTAACTGACCAACTGAAACAAACATAGTATACAAACAGTTCTCCATATCATTTCTTCACCAATATATCTTACTGGAAATATTTGTTTTTGATGCCAAATTTCCAGTGCTAAAAAACAAAAACCACATGGCAGTGAAAAATAATAACCCAGGAGCACATACAGACAACAACAAAAGATGTAGTGACCCTTGACACAAGAGTTAACTGTCAAGTCTAGAGTTTCAGGTATTTAAATATCATGAAAACACAACACAACAGCGTGTTTTACTAAACAAAACGAACATACCTTGTTAAAAATCTGCGTGGCTCTTCGTAAAACTCTGAAGTCTTGGTAGTATGGAACGTTTTAGCGTTTTTACGCTCAAATCAAGCGAGACGAAATCTTTTTCCGGTTGAGCTAAGGGGAGGGGGGCAACGAAAAACGTCCGTACGGGATTTGAACCTAACAGAGTTAGTTCTAAGCTACTGTAAAGAATGCGGACACCACGACATCCTGGTAGTTACGTCAGGAGTTTACTGAGACAGGCCCGGGAGTTCGTCAGTTTGTTGCCATGACCAAATCAGGAAGTGGCCGCCCTGCCCTCCCCCCGAAACGTGACGACAGAAACCGCAAAACTGTCGTCTGATCCTGACATCATGACCCGCGCGTTTCCCTACCTTCTCCCTACGTCATTTCCGGATAAACAACTACCGTATCGTCTGCGGAAGCTGTGTAACACATCCACGCAGCGTGCAAGCTGAATATTCTGCACATTCTGAGACAAAAAGCGGAGATTTGGACCCACCTTTAGTGCAGCTATTCCGGGGTGCGGTTGGACAACTTCGGCCATTTTCCGTTCTGTTTCCGTCCCGGCATGCAGCACGGTCGACCTTTGACCTGCCTGATGTAAACACGCCAGACTTCGGAGTCACGTGCGTTTTCGCGCGCTTTTTTCTCCCCAAAGAAATAAAGATCGAATTGACTGAAAATCAAAACTGAAAACTTCTCATTTCTGAGAACTTTTTTTGTTGTTTTGGTGCAAGGAAAAGTTTGTTGTGTATCGTACTCCTAGGATCCTAGGTTTCCGTATTTGGTACTGGTATAAGTGTGGATCACTAGCGACATCTATCTAGTTCTTCCGTCATTGCAGTTCTGGCAACTCAAATGCTTTTCTTAATCCAGTCGTTGATTCTCACGACAAAAAATACACGCAGAATATTTCTCTCGAATACATTTTATTACATGGATCAGTGGCATTGAGTCTGTGAAAACCCCTTCAGCAGCACCACGCCCGTTTCGTTTATGTCTTTCTCAGTAGTCAGTGACAAGGTCCTGAGGTAAACCCTTTCTTGGGTGAACGAGTGCCACTTTTTTAGCCACGTCCATGTAGTAGTAGTTTGTTCATCGTAGTAATACGGGACAGTGGTGCGGTCCTTGTTGGAGGGAACGATCTCGTAGACACGGACCCAGTCGCAGAGGTGCAGCATCATCACAACACCTGCAAAACAGCACACAATTACATCCAGAACCGTCGATGTTGTATCCAGAACCAACCGCGATTTATCCAGAACCATGTTCAGGCAAATCTACGTTCTTGGATATATGTGGAGACTATCCAGAACCGTGTCTAATCGTAACCCATTCAGACATAGAACTAGATAGGCACGGTTCTGGAATCAGGATACTATGGATACAATATCCAGAACCGTGCCTGGTCCTATCCCTAACCCATTCAGGAATAGAACTAGATAGGCACGGTTCTGGATACGATAGTGACCACAAAAAATCAGTTTTCAATCCCTGACGAAAAGTAGTGGATGCTACTTGAAACGTCTAGTAGTTTACAATTAAAATCTATCCAGTTGCTTGAGTAATCGTATTTCCTTGTGTATCTCATTACCTGGATGTCTAACGCTCATCGACGGAGAACAATACCTTAGTTGCTGAAGATCGACAGAGCAATGCCAAAAAACTGTCAGATTAAAGTGATGGTGTTGAGTACAAGTTGCTACTGTAAAACGTTAACGAAACTGCCTTACCAAACATTCCCGAACTTGGACTCATATTTGCCTTGTTACACATTCTTGTAGTGATGCAGAACCGCGCCAGTTCCCACATTATGTCATTTCCGAAGTCAGGTCTCTGTATGAAATGCAAATCCCTTGTTGGATACATTTTCCTGTATTTGACCAAGTTGTTAAAAACGTGGAACTGGTCGTGTTTGGTGTCGATCTTTTCTCCTTTCACACTGATGGAGTCCATGTTCCTAACAACTATGGCTTCATGTCTGAACATGTTGCTGTTTTTGCTCCAGAAATCCTTCTTGAAGTACCGTCCCGGAATCTGTGTGTTGACGAGACGAATGTCCGTCCGGTTTCCGACGAACTGCTCGAATCCCTGCGTTGGAGCGCAGTTGAATCTCAGCACGGCATCGTGGCTGTCTGAAGGAAAAAAAAAATAGCTATCATGAAAGTTCAGCTGTGTTGGTAGTTACATGTTTAATTCACCCTTCATTGAACCGCGACGGGGGCCGACATCGTCTACAAGATATCTTTGACCCAGTGTTGACACCACACTTCAAAGAAGCCACGTGACAAGCCTCACTGGGTCAGTCTACTGAGGAAGACCATTTTTATTCGACCTAATCTCCACCAGACTCCTTTGGAGGCTGAAGATATAGTAGAAATCGGCCTCAAAAGAATGTAGCTGGCCAGAGGAGTTGGCTGGCCATAGAAGGTCCAATTTGTCTAGTAAATTCTTTAGGCCGATTTCCATTATTTATTTACACTCCAAGCAGGTTTTTAGGTGGCGAAAAGGACTAGTATCAAATTGGCCAGGCAGTATCCATTGGCCAGACCTTCTCTGGCTAATGGATACTGCCTTGCCACCAAATGTATCTGCTTTATTCAGCCTGCAAAGGAGTCTGGTGGAGACTGATTCAGACCTACCTATCTCCTTCCCGTACTTGTGAAGCCTGAGGCCGTGGCTACTACTGACGACTGCGCACGAGTTAAAGTGCACCAACTTCTCCAGACTCTCCTCCGGCAGTATGGTGGCGTTTCCATCTTTGGACGCCTGTTTTCTTGTTATAGTTGAGAACGGAACGTTCTTCTTGAGTGCACACAGCAATTCTTCTCTTAAGGTAGAAACACTGTTCATTACATCTCTTCCTGCTTTTGTTATTGTTGAGAAATTATCGTTCTTCTTCGGTGTTATTATTGAGAAATTATCGCTCTTCTTCGGTGTTATTGTTGAGAAATTATCGCTCTTCTTCGGTGTTATTGTTGAGAAATTATCGTTCTTCACTTGACGCCATATTTTCGTGGCATTGAGTGTCTTGGGTCCATAGGTAGGTGCGTACTCAGACCTGGTCATTATAGAGTAGACACAGATCGTCACACAAACACACAGTACAGTACCGAGAAACCGCAGTATCCTTTTCTCCATGATGCTTAGTATATTCCGCTGATTTTCTGTATTTTAAACTGGTCACCAACTCGCGTGAGACCTGAAAAAGATGATCAGGCTTAGTCATTTGGACAAAATAATACACACACACGTACGACGGTACGTGTAAGTAAATGATTTAAGAGTTAACTTCACGAAAAGGGATGAGGATGCTTGCCATTAAGTTCTGACATAATAGAAGCAGGTCACAGTCTTCCCATTCTATTTCTGCTTGGAGAGCTTCTATTGAATACTACCTGGCTTTGGACAGTGTCTCTGTCATAGTAACACGCTGAACTTTAGTCTTTGTCATTTACCATGATAAGATGACCCTAACTGGTCTTACAACTTTTGTGCAATGACCTGCATCACGAACAAAGGTTATCTTTTTCTACAAGCAGGATAGTGTGGTGTCAACAGCAGAGTGCTAGAATCAGAACCAAGAGGTTCCGATCGCGAGTTCGAATCCTGCCATGATGCCACCGATTTTGCGCCATAGGTAAACTAAAGGCACGTTACACGATTTTCCTTAATTCACTCAGGTGAAAATTAGAATCGTCCTCTACTCTGAGTGGCATAAAAAAGAAGCTGAAAACTTGAGTGTGCCGTCACCATGCATGAATTTCCATTACAAGATGGAATTAAAAAAAAAAAACTCTCGGCACAACTTGAGTACTTAGTACGCCGTGTGCCGAGTACCAACCAGTTAGTGCCGGCCAGTTAGTATCCAGTTGCGTTCAGGAGTTAATTGTATGGTGTCCTGTAGCCACTACCAGGCTTCGGGAGGCGACTGGAAAGAGTAAAAATCGGCCAAATAGAGAGAGAGAGCATACCGGCGGTAGAATTTACTACTAGAAAGGCAAACTCTACAGTCTCCAGAAGACCAACTCCCCTGGCATTCTATCTCTATATCTGGCCGATTTCTACTCTTTCCAGCCGCCTCCCGAAGCCTGGTAGAGGCTAGGTGTCCTGTACAAATATCTGCTTGGAGATTACGTGAAACTAGCCGGAAACAATATTGTTGAGAAACAGTAGAAAGACTCACCACCGCTTGATTGGTCGGTACTTGCGAGGCCGAATTCACCGCAGAGAACTGACTCTTTTTTTTACCAATCCTTCACCCAGCGACACTGGGACCGACGCTTAGTAAATATGGGCAGGTGGGTCAGATATATGCGGCAGGAAACCTGTACTAAACTTTTCACGACTACCAGTAAATATATCTTGGTGCTGTTCTGCGCGTTCTCTTCCGCGTTGCGTATAGAAGTGGTTGGACTACTAGCTACGCCTAATTTTGGGCTTATTTGACCTGCAAGGGGAAGTCTTATACAGATGTCTATTGCATCATGCATGCCCGGAGGCTAACTGCAAATTACAAACATAGAAGAACATTGAAACAGAGTTTAAATTAACTTAAGTCTACATGATGAAAGGTAGTTAACGTTAAATACCAGTCGTCCGTGGGTGATGACTTATATAATAAACAAGACTGGCAATGAAAACATACATTGCCATGGCGACAGTGGTTGCTGTTAGGATTATTGTTTGCATGGCACTGCCATCATTCCATGATTTTGAGGAAGACTTGGTACCTGTTAAGTCTAGACAGATACAGTGCACTCCTCCCCTGAGTGTATAGTGAACTAGCCCCGGGGTCACAGAAAGTAGGCCATCCGGGGCAGACAGGTCTTCCCAAGGCTATGGTTCGCAGGAATGTGGGCATATACTAGTAGATGTGGGTCAGAGAAATGCCTGTGGACGTTCCATTCCTGTGGACAAAATGCCTGTACCATTCCTAGAATTCCTGCGAATTGCACACAATACTGTACCATTAGGCTCCTCCCTGAGATGTCGCCAAAAAGCCGAAAGTTTGTTGTATTTTGAGAAACACAGAGAACGCGAAAAGGATTAACATGATCTGACAACTCAAGGTCGTCTATGACGCGAGTATTCATGTAAGAAACAGGAGGAGCCCGTGGGTTCGAACCCACGACCTCCCGGGCCATTCCGCTAAAAGGTCTAGACGACCCCCCGGCCGGATCAGTTGGTTGCGCCTATAACCCCCCCCCCCCCACTGTTACATTCACATTATTTGGGTGATCTCTTGTTGACAGCCACATTGCCCTAAGACTGAAACGTGGCAGCTAGTGAGACTGGTTAGGTGAGGCGAGGTGACCACTCTCACTCAGTTTAAACTTTAACCTCCCTTCTCCTACTCGGTTGGCCTGCAATGATACTCTAGCCGTTTGGTGGTGCTTTTGAACCGTGAGCCTTGGATAAACCAGGTGGAAAGGAAAAGCTTTAAAGCCGGTGTAGAAAATAATCTCAAACCAGTTTTAGCTCCCGACTTATAGAAATGTAGAAATGATCTCGATCCAGTTTTAGCCCACTGAAGAGCTAATCTCCCACTGGTCGTGACAGAGAAGACAGATGCTGTGTACAGTATTTACAGGTTCATTGTACCGTCAAAATTCGCTTAGGATAGTTCCGAGTTTCGACAAGCACAATGAACAGTGGGCCACAGCTTAAGGACTGCGACCCTTTCCAGTAGCGTGCATGTCAGGTGAGCGACAACGGCCGGGATTCGAACTCCCAACCTCTTGGTTCAGAGGCAGGGTCGCTAACCACTGAACTACTCACACTACTTTTAAACAGTAGAATGCTGATGACGAACAGTTTATTGTCTGACGACATTTATGTATATGAGAACTTCATGAACTTGTGACAGGATGAATAAAAATTACGGTTGAGAAGATCGACCAACAATTTATGTTGAGTTTCCCTCTTGTGTTCGAACAAAGCTTGAACTCCGCAACATTAGGCTCTACCAACACAGATGAGCCTTCGATCGAGGATGAATAAAAGTTCTAAACGAGAACTATGCGGCTCCAGATGTCTTACTGAGGGACGACTGTGGTGTGATAGATGTCGGTTAGCTTGAGGAATGAATCCACTCTACTTTATCCTATTTCCAAACCATTGCTACCTTCTCCAGACTATGGTCAAAACGTACGTTATCGCGGCCCGGGTATGATATAAATATATATATATATATATATATATATATA